TCTAATCGCTCTATCGGATGTATTAGTCTTAATATAGACTAGCTTTCCTAAGTTAAACATTCTTAGAGTCGGTCTATTAATATATACCTATTTAAGTACTTCGAAAGCTTTCTATTACCGTTTTTTCTATATAAATGGAGTATCTTACTTCGTAAGTTCTATAAGCGGTAACGCTATCTAGGAGTAACCTAATATAAACTTCCTATTATAATTAGTAAGTCTAAGGAACGATTATACTTCTTTAAGGTTCTTTAGAGTAGGCCATTCTTTAATAGATGTAATTTTCGTAGGATTAATCCGAATGCTATCGACTCTAATAATAAAGCCGAGGAACTTAGTTTCCTTAACGTAAAATTTACATTTCTTTAGGTTTACCTTAAGTCTCTACTCTTATAGTTTTGTTAAGACTTATTATATATCCTTAATGTGTTAGTTTAGGTCTCTATCTATATATATTAGAATGTCGTCTAGGTATACGACAACTATAATATCTAGATATTCTTATAGCGTGTTATTAATTATTATCTAATAGGTAGCCGGGGCGTTAGTAAGTCTAAATGGCATAACTAGGTATTCGTAGTGCCTATAGCGCGTACGAAATGCTATCTTCTATTCTTCTCCCTCCTTTATATAAATAAGGTTATAGGCTCCTTTAAGATTAATCTTCAAGAACCATTTCGCTTTAGATAGGCGATCCTATAGTTCCTTAATATTTAGTAATAGGTAACGATTCTTAATAGTAATATCGTTAATCTTTTAGTAATCGACGTATAGTTATAAGCTACCGTCTTTCTTTAGTGCAAATAAAATTAGGTAACCTATAGGGGATTCCGATTTACGGATAAATCCTCGTACTAGATTCTCGTCTAGGTATTCTTAAAGCGTCTTAAGTTCTTTTTCGGATAACGTATAGATAGGTCTAAATATAGGTTACTTCCCTAGTTTAAGTCGTATTTCGTAATCCTACGGCTAATGCCTAGGTAACGCGTTAGCATTCTCCTCTTCCTAAAATAAGCGTTTCTATTTGCTATATTACTTAGGGATATTAGAAGGTATGTAACTCCCTTTACTAACTCTTACTTCGTAGCCCGTCTAACCTCTAAGATCGGTGCCTACGGAGCCGGTATTATAATTATTTAATAATGCCTTAGTCGAGGTAATAGCAACTAATGCTTTTCTAGTCTTAGTGTAACCCTTCCTCTTATCTACTATCGAACGCTACCGATACGTAGGTTATAAGCCGACTACGTAGTCGCACTCCTTAAACCTTAATACTTATAACTTCTAGTTAATTATTAGGTTATATCGCCTTAACTAGGGCATACCTAGGACAATGTAGTAATTAGCCATTTTTACGATGTCGAAGATGATATCCTTATAGTATAATTAGGTAACTAACTATAAAGGTACCGTTTCCTTTATAACTCTAGGTAAGGCTAAGCCGTCTATAGCCATTAATTTGTACCTATATTCTTTCGATTAAGTAGCTATCTTAAATTAAGTAACTATTAATATTAATATAAAGTTTCCGCTTACTCTAAAATCTATTATTATATATAGTCGTCTTCCTTATACGGTGACTAGTATATAAAATAACGTAGTTAATAATGTTAACGCTAGGGCTTAGATCGTGTTACATTCTTATTAGCTACCCTTACTATAAGAATCTACTCTTTTTCTAAGTTATCGCTAACTAGTAAGTCGAAACTAACTTTCTCCTTACCGTTTAACGAGGTAAATAGTCTATATTCTTCCTAAAGGTGTCTTTTATATAGCTTACGCTACTACTATTATACTTATTTATACCGAGATCGTAGTAACTTAATACTATCTTATATACTGTTATTAACACATTCTCCTAAGGGAATGATATATCCTACTAGTATAAAGGTACTACTAAGTAGTGGCCTCTTAACTATAATAGCCTTAAAGTCGTAGTCGACTACTATAACTCGGTGTTCCCGAAATATATTACGGATCTAATCTAGCATATTATCGAAGTTATAAGGGTGTAGGAATCTCTAACCGTTTATTAAGGGGAATGCTTCCTCTCTATATTTTATTATAACGTTAAACATTTTCGTAAAACATAAGGGAATATAGGAATAAAGTGTCTTAATGCCTTCCCTACCGTTATAGAGGTGTTTATAGTCTTTATTAGATAATTCTTCTTCAGATTCCTTACTATCGTTATCGTCCTTCTTAGGATTGCTTTTAATATCGTCTTCTTCGACTTCTCCTTTCTTAAGATCTTCTATTCTAGTAATAACATTAATCTCGTTATAACTACCTCTACCCTAGCCTATAGGTATAGGGGGAACCTACTTAGATCCTATCTTAGCATCGTAATAGACTAGACATACGTTATTATAGTAGTCCGTCTAGCTAAGTATCTTATAGTGGTCTAGACCGTAGGTTCCGGTTAGCTTCTTCTACCTTATATTAAATTGTCTTTAAGGCACCTTATTCTTTAAACGATAATCCCTTACTATATAACCTTTCTAGTTATATATATAGTAAGTCATCTAACTTTTCCCTTTAAACTACTTCTTACCCTAAGATTAGCGACCTTTAGTAACGTCCAGCTCTATTAGCATAGGTCTATAGGGATCCTAGTACTAGTTATTATTACGGTTAAACTTCTTTCCTTTAAAGTTGTTATTACTACGGTATAGAATATAGCTAGACTTGCTATAGGGGGTAACGTCGTAACGTCTCTCTATAGCGCGTTTATAAAGATTGTCGTCGATTTCGATTATTATACGGATAAGTTTATCGAGATTCTCGATCTTTTCGCCGGTTCTTATAAGTTCGTCTTTAACGGTTTCCTTTAAGCTACGGCGGTATATAGTTATTAGGGCGGAGTCGCCCTAATTAGTAACTTAGGCATATTCCTAGAACTTAGCGGCATAGTCGGATGCTAAAGTGTATTAACGGATATACTAAATAAGACGTATAGCGACCTTATCCTCGTTAGAGACGCTAAAGATGCGGCGAATCTCCTCCTTAAACTTAATAAAACTAGTAAGGATACTATTAGTGTCTCCTTAGCCGTTTAGGAACTTTATAAGCATCGGTTTTATCTAGTGCTAGGCTCTTCCTTAGAGGTAGGTACTAGTAAACAAGGTTTTCTTATTAGCTTCTATTAGAGTGAACTAGAAGTAGATGTCTATCTAAGTAAGCTAGTCGTCGAGGCCCTAACGGTCTCTATAGTAGAGATCGGGCTTAGCAACCTTACTGTCATTACGGTAGATAGTAGTAGTACCGGTTCTACCGACCTTACTAGGTATACCTCTTAGGGTACTATTACTTAATTAACTTATTCTAAGGGCGTTTAAAGTTGTTATAGCTAACTATTCTAGGAAGAATAACTAGTTATAGGGTTAGACTCGTAAAGCGGAGTGTTAAGCGTAGTAAAGCAGGTATAGGTAGTAGTATATACTAAAGGGACTGTTAGAATAACTAATTAAGTTAAACGTAGGACTTCCTAGTAAAGACCTGCCTACCTATATACCTAATAGATAATAAGTGTATGCACGTCGCTCTATATGCTCTATAGTGCTCTATAGAGTAGAGTAGAGTAGAGCATATAGCGTTTTTATATAAGGTGCTCTATTATGCTAAGGTGCGGAGAACAACAGAGTAGGCTGTGCGACCCTGTCATTAGTAGGATTGTAACACTATGCCCCATTTTGTCGTTATATGTCGATAATGTCTAATAGAGCGCTTATGCAAAATCTTATTCCGATGCGCTTTATACTGCTCTATGTTCGCGTCGTCGTCGATTCCCGGGTGTAGATAAGACCACGGTATTACGAGGTCGTTTGTATTAGTCCACTAAGTGGATGAGCTAGATGTTACCATGTCCGGCAAGAGTTAAGGCCGACTTAAGATTGCTTAGAAGCTGGTATAAGTGTTTAGGAGATATATACTAGGGGAAACGGAGGATATCGGTGGCCGTCTATTATCTATATGATAACAAAGAATTCCTAGGCTCCGAAGGATCGGTAAATCTCATAGAGACAGGCGGATCCTCTATAAAACGTCTAATGACGCGAATGGTACCGGGACAGACCGGGTCAGATATCGCTTACATTGGGCGGCTCTTCTCTGAACTTTACCATTAAACCTAATATACGATATATATATATTGTACTTACGCGTACATAGTATAGCAAGTCATCAACCTTTATCCAAGTAGGTGTCGTAAACGAGCGACAAAGACATCCTTCCAACAATAATCCAACTTCCGTTGGCTGCAACCTTAACAACATCCTAACTTTAACCTATGTGGTCACTCGCGTGTTACGATTTGGCTTTACCCTCGAATGGAGACTGCAATCATAAAAAGTCTGTCTCACTGCCACCTCATTGAACCTCCGGAAGCAGATTCCAACGCTGACGACGTCGTTGAGCTAACGTATCACCCCTAATCGCTGATTGCAGTGCGTGGCTTGCGATTGGTCCGAAGGCCACACTTCTGCAAAAGAAAGCTCACGACACACACATTACCACCTTGGCGATTGAGACGGACGAGAGTAAAGCAGTGCATGTCATAATTTCTCACAATCAAGCATCCGCCCGTCAACCAGCGTCTGCCTCATGGTCATCGTGCATGTGCGATCGACATTGTTCACACCTAAGCGACACAAGATATTCGATTACTCGCAGAAGCCCTTCATCGTATACTCGATGGATACGCACATACACATCTGTTGCCGCCGAAAGCACAATGATCCTGACTGGGGCACTACGACCTGGAGTCTTGACTTAATTGTGACCTAAATGCTCCGGAATCAATGCCTGCGCCACTATATATTGCTTGACAGTTGACCTGGCCACTTCACAAGGTCTGACTCAATATCTTAGTTAGAATGAACCAGGCTTGCCGCCACAAGCTTACAGGACGGCTACAATAGACACTCCTCATACAGCAACCTCATGCGTGATATTACTATCGGTTTCAGCGACTGTCTGACCGTCCCTCTCGCGCTCACGACTTGGGATTGGCAGCGTATCTGGCTACATTGACTGAAGCCAAGCAGTACGCTATCGAAGAAGCACGAGAGAAGAGGGAAACCGTTCAGTGCAATTTGCGTTCAGGAACACCAATCGTGCCCTCTTGGTTTGATCGGGATGACAGTCATCATACTTCTCGTCTTCAGTTCTGGACAGCCTAAAATCACGGGAAACAAGCTCAAGGATAGTATGATTGGTGCGGCACATACTCTGCTAGTCGGTATGGTGGCTATTGAAGCTAGCTATAGTATTGTCAGAGCGTTGAATTCAGGTTGGTCAATGGACGTGTAGGTCGGCACGAACTTCTGCGACTTCAGCCTTGGTACCCACAGGTCCCAATGAACCTGAACTTTTGTATGCAAGATGATGAACAGTGAGACATGATATTGCCGTGCACGTGCGCCTTAACTATCCACAAATAGCTCAAGGAATTAGCCATACGTGCTTCAGTACCAAATTCGAGTGGTTCTCGTTTGACTTCTCGTCTTCTTATAGAACGATGTATACGAATATAAAACAGAGCAAATTTGATGTCCTAGACTGAAGCTGAGATCAGAGGTAGAGCCTGATGAAATCGAGTCTTCCTCATTGATCTACTATAAAGCCTGTACTAAAGGCTTAGACTGATATCGTTTGTTCGAGACACAATGTAATTGCCATGGGGACATAGACGGCAGCACCACTCTGCCGACTCAATCAAGTTGAATCTGAGTTTCGCACTACCATTTTGTTAATCTTCGGATGATACAAGAGGCTAGACGTCTGGGTGGTAATAAGATTTTGCAGGACAGGCGCTACGCTGGCGGCAGATGGCCAACATGATTGGAGCGCACACTCGGTCCGATAATCGAAACTCTATCCCTCATGATTCCAGTCCTGCAGTCTATGCTATAAATTGTGCCCAATGTATGCGTTGTTTGGTCAGATCATTCCGCGGAACATTCTTCTTCGACATGATGTGTTGGGCGGGGCTTTCTAACACTCACAACATAATCTGCACACGGAGGTGTAAAGTAAGTGAGTATTCCGGGGATGTAAGCATCCGATTGGCAGATCCCACACAGTCGGAGCCGGCTCCTTCCAGAGTTCATATAGTGCATATCGTTCACCATGACCATACCGCGGGCCGGGCAAAACCGGATAGGATTAGCTATCAACAAACATCGCATGGCAATCTGGGTTTGTTCACGACATGCTCAAGCTCACGATCGATCAACCAGAAAGTCTACCCAGATACACTATTGGGCGAGCATTCCTTGTCGTTGCTGCTCTGAACGAAAATCAATCGGATCGAGACGTTTATGCCATGATGAGTCTTCCGCAGTAACCTTCGAGCATAGTGTTCCGACATAGCTTCCCAAGCTCCTTTCCAGATTACAAACAAGATTTATGAAAAAAATTGAGACATGACGTATGTCATGGAAGTGAAAGGAGAAAGTGATCTACCATCGTTCTCAAAGTAAGCCGAGGAGATCGCTCACGTAGGACACCTCTACGACGCACGCTAAACTCTCTTCCAGACCATCATCCGATGACATGACCAGAAAGAAAGACAGTGACATGCTAGCGACTGATCCATCAAGCGACGTTCATTACAACAATTTGTGCTCCGTCCTTATATAGTCAGGTCGAACCTGCCCTTGTGCTTCCAATTGCAGGTTCAGCTTGGACGGATTTTGACTGATAACCGAAATGCATGCACTGCTCCTCCCTCTACTTCTGGCCACTCTCCAGACCGGTGTCATAGCCGCCCCTGCGTCTGCATCCGATTCCACGGCCAGCGCTGAGGCTTCGCGGTCGTGGACTACCCCACCACCTGACTACTCGTCTATCTCCACCCCTTCCTCCAGGAAACGTACGGCTGCTCGTTCATCTCTTTCACAATCTGCCTACATCGGCAACGAAACTTACAGCAACGGTACCACCAGATCATTGACCTCTTGCGCAGCTAGTCTGAACGGAAGCATACCCTCTGCTCTCGGCTGGAAGTTCGACGGTAAAGTCAGACGTTACTACGTGGCTGCCGAGGAGGTAGAATGGAATTACGCTCCTACAGGATGGGATAACTGGCTGGGTGTGAGTGAATATGGATCCTTTCCACGATCAATCGCGATACTGAAACGATGTTCATAGGTTCCCTTGAACGATTCGATCCGCGCAAGACAAGCCGGTTACCTCGAGCATGGCACTGTGTGGACCAAAGCTCTGTACAGGGGTTTTACCGATGCAACGTTCACGCAGCTTAGTGAAGAACTTCCCTTTCAAGGCACTCTTGGTAGGTGGTTGTCCGTCAGGATCTTTAGCAGCATCTAATATCGAATAGGACCTACTCTGCGCGCTGAAGTTGGTGACCTGATCGAGATCTTATTTGTCAATAATCTGACTAGCCACTACGCTACAATGCACTCTATGGGTCTTTCATACACCAAGTTCAGCGAAGGTGCCGACTATCCCGACACTGGCTCGGGCACTCATGCCAAGATCCCCGAAGAAGATGCAGTACCACCAGTTGAGCCCGGAGTCGCACCAGGCGGCTGCGTCGTTTATAAGTGGATGGTTACAGACATCGCAGGTCCAAATTACGATGAGCCGGCAAGGACTCACAGCTATCACTCCTACGTCTCTATCCAGCAGGATACCAATGCTGGACTGATCGGTCCTACCATTATTTATGCCAAGGGGACCATGGACAAGGTCATGGCTGAATATCGCGAGATCCCGTTCCTTTTCAACATCTATGAAGAGGATACCTCTTTCCTTTCCGGTATCAACGCAAAAAAGCTCACTAACCAGACTATCAACAACCAGATCACGACGCTCTTCAATGCCAACAGCTCCATCTGGTACCCTCAGGAAGTCAACATCAACGGCGCTGGACAGTTCTCCTCTGCACCCTCATTCCGTAAGTTATAACATGTCCATCCCCCACTCTTCTCATCCTTCGATAATCGCTAACCACTGTAACATCTTTAGGTTCCATCAATGGCTACGTCTACTCTAATAACCCGGTCTTCGAGATGTGTCTCGGCGACAAGGTTTTGTGGTACGCCATGTCTTACGGCAGTGCCGCTCACGTCTTCCACATGCACGGAAACGCTTTCACTTGGGCAAAGGTTGGCCAGTATGCGATCGCTCTGGGTGATGGTGTTGGCAAGACATTAGTCATGGATGCTACCGGTCCGGGACTTTGGCAGGTTGTCTGCCATGTCGAGAGCCATTTGAGCGCAGGTATGGTAGCCAACTACAAAGTCTACAGCGACAACTGCCCATTGAAGCCCTTGGCAGAGTCTTGAGCTCCGTGTTCGAGCTGGCAATGGTTTGTTTGGCAGATCTGTACCGGTGGTGAGCTATAAAACACATAGTTCCTTGATATCTGGCCCGAACTCGCTTGGTAGAGATCTACTTGGCCTGTGTATGTTGATAGGGCATGTGTTTCATATTCGCCACTGGCGCCTCTGGTCCGTACCATTCCACTAGTGTATGAAGTGAAAGATTGTATCTCCAAGAGCCATCTGTAGATATCTCCAATTCAATGCCAAGATGGTCTCGGGAATATTTAGTCCCGACTTCAGCATGATTTGGTGGTTGTTCTTTTGCCTATGCATGTTGATGACGTTTTGTGGTTGGCTAAAACTCTTTGCAAGTCCGCTCAAGACGGTCATTAAGTATGGAGTCACGATTTGTCTATCAACGAGTAAGCTAAGGATCTGGAATATTGACCATGTTGTAGTACCGAGCTTGCATATGCAGATCTGAAGATGATTCTGAACGCGAATTAGTAGTCATAACAGAGATATGGTAGGACCGAAGAGGCTACGAGCACAAATTAAAGTGTAAGTCTCCTCCTATTGATGTCCATAAGGTTACGCGTACTAGGGGCGTTCGATATGTGACTACTCTCCTTATCTGCTATGGCCGGACTCTGGGATAGCACATGTCGTCTTTTACAGTCGTACAGCGGATACAAATGGGACAACCACTGCCTCCACACGCTCAATCTCTACTTCTTCTGTGTCAGACCTAGGTGGTCAATCTGACAACACTGTACCCTGAAGGTAAGAGACTTCGAAGCGCAACTGATAACGAAACAAGTCATGTTTCTGAGCAGGGAGAAGATCTGGTACACCGCAGTCGGCTCTCGAGAAGACCACTAAGGATAGCGATAGGTAAGTCAAAACTAGTGAGGCTACAGCTCGCGAACAAGTCGGAGTGTATTCACATATCCCGACCATCTCTTTGATGTTCATGTCTGATAACCGGGTCTACGATCGAGCCGTATGAGCCGGACAGAGAGACTGGACCAAGCACCAGATGCCGGATGCGGCGAAGGTATACGAAGATGGAGCTGAGCGGTGGCAATTTGGGCGACGGTCACTGGGCGGGTTGGCTCAATGGGACGTGAACGCTGAGGTGGCAGTTGCAGTGCAATCAGCCATGGAATTCGGTATAGAGACTGAAGGTTACTCATAGACTACAAGTATTGAATTTTCACCAGCCAATCTTGAAGAAACGCGTGGGATGCCCTCTGTCCATCATCTCCTCATCCTCAGAAGGTGTCACCTGTCGAATACCTTCGGCTCGTGACGATTGCCACAGCCCATCCAGTTCACATGGGCCTTCCAGGTTTCCCAAGCCCTCCGTTGTCACTGAACCCTTCTGCTGTACTGTGTCCTCCGACTCTCCGTACCACCACTCGGTGGACTTTTCTGACAGCCCCCAATCCATGGCTTGAGTGCTCATGGAAAGAAGCGCAGCGCCTGGTAGACTTCCGGCATTCTCGAGTGGCAGATGTTGAACAGAGCTTGAGGGCAAAGACTGGCTGTGTTGCTGGCTAATCGCTGTTGATACATGCGACTCGTCAGAAGAGGATGCTGCTGGCACATGATGCAACCGACGGGGTGCTGTCAAGGAATGCTCTCCTGTTGCTGATCTGGACGATAATTGAGGGATGTCTCCAGACCAATAAGCTTCTTCTTGTACCTGTGGCAAAGACTGGTTAGGCTGATCGCGCGAGTGGGAACCCCTCTGCAACTGAGTGGGCAGCGACTTTGGACGTTCCTGATACTGCTGCTCTGGACTTTCCACAATGGATTCATTGTCACATGGTACACCGTACTCCAGCTTCTCCGATACAGGCCGCTCATAGTCGTGGCGGGCCCAGTTCTCATTTACGAGTCCTGATAGATCCAATACTGCGAGTATGTTGTGTATAAGCGGTTTTCCGCCGTGCTCCATCAGTTTTGGGCCGGGCCATGCGTCCGCAGCAAGCAACTTGTAATACATGGTGTGTACGGCGGCCTCTAACTTTTGTTGCCGTATTTCTAACGCCTGCACAAGGCTGAGTATCGTCAGTACTTGTCTTGTCTCTAACAAGGATCTGGGCATCCTTACTGTTCGGGGAACATCTTTCGTTGAGACCTCTTGAAGTGTCCGTGGTGGCACACAGCATCGGCTAGTCTGCAATTCGTGCATGGTGTATTACCGGAGCATCTTGCTTTTTTGAGACGACAACGAGCACAAGCCTCAGAAGCTCGCGATGGTCCTCTCTCGCTATGTTCTGGATGCGACTGCTCTTGTATGGATTCCATCCGATCGAGACTGCGTGAATGTGGAAATGAACGTCAGGTCAATCTCGTGCACTCCTTATTCCAAGCTGGTCCCAGAAGTTCATATTTGAACCGCCACGTTGAGATCTCGCACCCGACATCGTACATGTGGTATCGGTCTGGCCATGCGTCCAGGTTGGATAACTTTCACCATCGTTTGTCGCTATCCGGCGGCTTTTGACGCCCGAACGCCCGTTCTTGCTTCATGAACGGCGTACGTATCATGTCGGACACGCGTTAGCCTAGCTACAAGGGCGTTTCTAATAGGCCTAGACGATGTGAATTTCGTCCCACATAGGTCTGAGAATCGCGCCCGCCCCCATCGATCTGGTTGATCGCTCGATTGCTGCGCACAAAATGATTTTGATTCGACGGCGCAAGGGCTGGGGTTGCTTACGTGGTTCCGAATTCTTCCGATCCTCTCGAAAGTGGATGTAGGAATGATCGTAATGCGGTCTAAGCTCCGATGAACCGCACACCAAGTTCAAGATCCCGTGGGGTTAGGCGTAGGACCCAACGACCATCTTGTGTGGACTATACAAGGGTACACAACTAAGTCCACGGTCGAGAACAGCTGGACACACTCGAGCCGCCAGACCCAGAACATATTCCGTTTAATAGTGACCAGAACTTAGTGACCGTAGGCTTTAGGATATCGGACGAAGTCGGTCTACACGATGGTCACTGCCGGACTACAGTACACTGAATGCTTCCTTTACAAAAATCTTCATTTGACAGCTATTACGAGAGACTGGCTAATACTGAATTCTTGTTGTCCCCGCCGACGATTACATCGTGTTGTCCTTGACAAGAATATCCCTTTGCAATTCGGAAAGACCTCTCAGACCACCTAGATGCATGTTCATGATGGTATCACCCATCAAACTGTTCAGAACATGTTTGACGCCGTCCTGTCCTCCAATAGCAAGGCCATATGCATACGGTCTGCCAACAAGCACGCACTTGGCACCCAAAGCGAGCGCCTTGATGATATCCGATCCACACCGAATGCCGCTGTCGAAGAAAATATCCAGCTTGTCACCAACAGCATCAACGATATGTGGCAACATTGTTAGAGATGCAATAGCGCCATCTTGCTGGCGACCGCCATGATTGCTGACCACAATACCAGCTAATCCTAGTTCTGCCGCCTTGCGAGCGTCAGCGACGGTTTGGATGCCCTTAAGCACAATAGGACCATCCCAATGCTGTTGCAGGAATTTGACATCTTCCCAAGTGTGGCTGTGGCCAGGGAAAACAATTTGGGTCCACTCCTTTGCTGCATCGCCGAATGTAGCGCCTTTCGTGATGCCGTACTCGTCCAGGTAGCCCCTACTGATGTCGTGCCCATGCTTCTCCTTGAATCTTCGCTGGAATACCGGATCTGTGAATCCAATCTCGACGCCAATGCGATCGGGGTGGATGAAAGGATTGTACCCGTGGTCCATGTCCGAAGGCCTCCAGCCGAGAACATATGTATCCAGCGTCACAAACAATGCTTTGTAGCCGCTGTCTTGGGCGCGCTTCAACAAACTCAGTGTTATATCGTCATGCTCTCTGCTTGGCCAGTATAGCTGGTACCACCGGACGGGCGCGGGCGCACTTGGTCTAGCTCCCGAGTCGTTCGCCGCAGCGACATCTTCAATCGAAGTGCTCGATGCCGTGGACAGGATGTAAGGAATACCAGTTTCGGCCGCGGCTTTGGTGGCTGCGACTTCACCTTCAGGGTGAAAAATCTTCTGTACGCCAATAGGTGCAATGGCCATGGGAAACGGAAGCTTCTGACCCAAAACCTCAACGCTGGTATCTGGATAGAGCTCATTGCCGATTGTATCCTTGCGCGAAGGCACAAGGCGACTGGGGCAAAGCGCATAACGCTTGAAAGACTCGAGATTGTTGTTGTAGGTACCGCTGGTGCCAGCGTTACCATGGACGTAACCCCAGCTGTTCGAGTCTAGGACCTCGTGGGCCTTACCTTCCCATTCAGTGGATTGGAAGGTGAAGGGAGGTTTGTGGGAAGTGAGGCCAGCTTGGTAGACTTGCTGTTCATACTGTACGGGGCCGGGGGTGGACATCTTGATCGACTAAGAGGGGTTCGATGGGACAATGCGAATTTTATGTACAAGCTCTACGAGCAGGTCGAGCTATTTATCTGTCGATTCGAGTTATTCTGACGTAGCACAGTAACATGTTCACAACACAAATCTGTTCGAAGCCGAATTATCCCGATCGCTTTCCCTTCAAGACGCCAAAGCGATGAGTCCCAGTCGTGACGTGCGCTTGGTGCTGTTTAGAGCTGCGACGCAAGTTTCTGGAGTTAGATCCGAAAACATCCGGCCCAAACATGGAAAAATCTGGGGATCGCTTTGTTCTTGCGGGTCGCGATGGCGTTTGTTTTGTCCCTCCCCGCTATTTTCGTCGGGCCGAAAACGCTTGTGATAGTCGTGTTTGCAACAGAATTAGGCTTCGCAAGCACAACTTTGGCTGATGGATGCGTGTGGCATCCCCGGCCCGCTGTACCACCGAACGCCACCAAAGTCAAAAAGATGATGAGTAGAAAAGCCTATAACGCTACCCGTCATGAGCTATCAAACTGCAAGCATTCATTCACGGATTTCGAAGTGAGGCATTTACAACAGGGTTAGCTTCCCGGTAGCAATCCAACAATAGAGTATCTGCTTATCGGCGCGAGGTCATGAATCGAGAGGAAAGGAACGCGTACGTGATAGCTCGTTTGCGGGCACTCGATATCATAACGTCCAGATGCCTTGCTGCTCTATTGGCTCATTCGCTGTTTCAGTGGTCTGAGACCTTGCACATCTTCGGACAGTACAGCTTGTAGGTGCAGTATACGAGGGGTAACACCATCGCATTCTATTCCTGATTCTGAGTCGTCGATGATGACTGGTCTAAGCACTAAACTATCTGCCCTAAGCTTTCTTGAGGGTTCTGTACTCAGCGTTCCACATTTGCTGCTTGATCCAGTCCTCGAGATCCTCATTGTTCTTGGGAATAGATTGTTCTTGAGTAAGACCCTCATCCTGAGCCTTTCTTATGACCGCGGCTGCGACTTTGACGCTGACCCTGCGTGCATCGGTCACGTCGGGAAGCAGTCCCTTCTTGTCATCTCTACGAGATGGCGCCTGTGATGCAAGTGCTTGAGTCGCTGCGACCAAGAGTGGAGTCGAGATGAGCTTCGTCCGGGACAGAATAGCTCCTAGGCCGATGCCTGGGTAGATCATGCTGTTGTTGCACTCGGCAATCACATGAGTCTCGCCGTCATGTTCGATGGGGTCGAAGGGTGAACCTGTAGATATCAGAGCCTTGCCATCAGTCCAATTGATCAGATCAACAGGCGCTGCCTCGTGCAGCTTTGTAGGGTTAGACAGAGGGAAAATGAGTGGGCGATCGGTGTGTTTGGCCATTTCCTTGACAACCTGTTCGGTGAAGATCTTTGGCTTTGTGGAACAGCCGATGAGAATGTGTGGCTTCACCTCGCGTACAACCGAAGCAAGATCTTTGGTGTCTTTACCTTTCCATTCGGACTCCTTGCGCGCGTACTGGTGCTGTGCATGCGTAAGATCGTCTTTCATCGAGTCCAGCAAGAGACCGGACTTGTCGAAGCACCAGAAATGTTCCAGAGCCTTTTCCTTCGGGAGTTTAGACTCGAGAGCTACGGCATCGGCAATCTGGTCCGCGATGCCAGTGCCAGCAGTTCCGGCTCCGACGATGAGAACACGCACGTCCTTGAGCGAGAGCTTGGCTACTTCCAATCCGGCGTAGATGGCTGCGAGAGTGACACAACCAGTGCCTTGGACATCGTCGTTAAAACAAGCAATCTTGGACGTGTATTTGTCTAGAATGCGACGAGCGTTCGAGATGCCAAAATCCTCGAAGTGGATATAGGCCTTAGGGTACTGCTCTTGGGCAATCGCGATAAATTTATCGACGAAATCATCGTATTTCTGTCCTCGGACTCGTGTGGACCGACGACCAAGGTAGAGATCATCCTTCAAGAACTTTTCATTGTTGGTTCCGCAGTCCAGAACAACTGGCAAAGTTCGATCGGGATGTATACCGGCACACAAAGTGTAGATGGCCAATTTGGCGACAGAGATGAGGATGGCGCCGACTCCTTGGTCACCGATGCCGAGGATCTGCTCGCCGTCGCTGACGACAATCACATCGATGTCGTCAGATGGAGCTTTTGCCTGGGACAGATTCTTGGCAATTTCATCCTGTTCGTCGATGTTGAGGAAGCAGCCCTCTGAACGACGAAATTGTCTCGAATAATTACTGATGGCAGCACCCTCGGTAGGTGTGTAGATAATGCTGAGCATCTCCTTGAGATGATCTTGAATCAGTCTGTAATACAGAACTTCATTCTGCTCTTTCAAGCTGGTCATGAAGCTGTTTTTTGCCAGGTCATCATCACCACATGAGCTGTATTGGGCGTAGGCACGTTGAGTCTGTTCGTCGATGGTCTGGATGCGGGAAGGAAGTAATCCGGTGAGTTCAAATGTTTCGCGCTCTTCCTTAGTGTGAGCACTACCTTTGTTGAAATGTGGGGTCGCCAGCAGCTCCACACCCTGTAGGAAACATTCCTGTTAGCGACGCAACCTCATTGGAACTGATTGGTGAGTAGAGCTGACCTTCAGCGGACAGCGCATGGAGTCCTCGAACTTCAAAGGAACATCGTCATGTTTGGAAGAACTCTTGTGTGCCATGATCGATGTGAGTGCAAGCGGTATTTTGTATGGATGAAGGTAGCAATTGTGAAGGTTTGCAAGCGAGATCTATGATTGAAAGGTGTGTACAAGGTCCAAATGCAGGATGCATGATACAGGATTTAAAGGAGCGGAAGTGAGGAACAGATCGTCAGGCGTACGCAACCGATCCGAGTCCTACCGAGGCTTTAGTGTTGCATGAACACGACGCAAATAGCGACTCGGGCGTGACGTGTACGATCCTTTTAGGTTCCACCATCACGAAGCTATTATCCTGTTTCAGCTCTCTCCACGTTCAGTTGTTCCACGGGCGACTGGCGTCCGCTCCACATTAGCACAACCAGTGTGGGAAAGCTTGCTGGCATGTAAGCTTTCCTCCGTACAGAGCCAAGGCTGCAGGCGTACTTGCCAAGTGATCGGACCATCTGGACATGGAATCTTTAGAGTTGCCGTTAACAACCGATCGACCCTGGAAATGAGACTTCCAGGTCGCAATCTGTCTAGTAAAACCACTCACCGATTCAGAAATTCTGATCAATCCCGACATTTCCCGGCCTCAACACATTTACCTACTGGTGAAGATTTGATATAGAGAAACAACTGTTTTCGCCGCGGGTTAGATTGCGGGATTTTCTCCGACCTGACTATCATTGAGAGCGAGGAACGAAAACGACATTATGGCCTCCGAACTACTCGCTCGAGCTAGCTTCAGATCGTTCCACGTTGTCTTGACTCGTCTTCAGTCGTTTCCACACATCTCCCATCTTTGACAAGCAATCAGCATTGCACCACAAACATTCCTGTACATTATTGACGCTAGGCCACCTCTCGACTCCGAGACGGATGACGATGGTCTCTCGACACGAAACAGATCGAGCACATGGATCCGATAGTATGGGCGCCCCGATCTCGATGGGCACATTCGATCCTCGCATGGAGAACCGCCTCCGAGATATCGAACAGCACATGCTTCCCACGCGTCGTGTGTCAGATGCAGAACCTGAAGGTACCGACGGTCAAGTCACTTGGGCGGGCAGATTGCGACAGTAAGGCCTCCCCGATGCATGCATCCCCCCCATTACTTCCAATGAATTGTACACTGACTCTAAGCTTGTTGGACAGTTTCACATGGGCCTGGTTCACTCTGACTATGGCCACTGGCGGCTTCGCTACACTTCTCAGTGTGCAACCCCACTCCTTCAGGGGACTGAAGACAATTGGAGCTGTGGTCTACATCTTTGACCTTGTGCTCTTTGTGTTCCTGGTTACTAGTATCTCTGCTCGCTTTGTCATGTACCCTGGGTCTCTGACTAAATCACTCAGACATCCTTCTGAAGCATTGTTCTTCCCAACATTCTGGCTGTCGTTGCCAACCATTATCGGTGGCATGAACAACTACGGCGTAGCCAAGACAGGTCCTTGGCTGATCGTGACTCTACGGGTCTCCTTTTGGCTATACTGTGCTTGTACTCTGCTGCTAGCTATCGGTCAATACTGCTACCTGTTCATGAACAAGACACTGCTCGTGAAAAGCATGACTCCCTCGTGGATCTTACCAATTTTCCCTGTGATGCTGACAGGCACCTTGGCTAGCATTCTGGCGTCGAACCAACCTCCAGATCAAAGACTACCGATGATTGTTGCTGGAGTAGCGGCGCAGGGTCTCGGTTGGACAGTGGCTGTTATGCTTTATTCTGTATGTTTAGTAAGGCTCTTCGAGTATGGCTTGCCGGTTCCTAATTCAAGGCCGGGTATGTTCATCTGCGTTGGGCCTCCTGGTTTTACAGCCCTAGCTATCATTGGTATGAGCAACGCACTCCCGGACAACTACGGTTATCTCGCGGCGCATGCCGGAGCCGCAACAGCACTGAGAGCGTTTGCCTTATTCACAGCAGTCTTTATCTGGATGATCGGGTTTTGGTGGTTCTGCATCGCCCTTATCAGTACAGTCCAGGGCTGTCGGAAGATGCGATTCACGCTCAACTGGTACGTCCTGCCAGATGCCAACCAGTATAGCAAGTGGTAGAAAGTCTGAAACTGATGAATACGACAGGTGGGCTATGGTCTTCCCAAATACTGGATTCACTATCAGCGTAATTGATATAGGGAATCAATTGGAAAGTCAGGGCATCCAGTGGGTGGGGAGTATCATGAGCATACTCATCTTCATCATGTGGTTGTTTGTTATCTGTTCTCACGCAAATGCTGTAAGATCAGGGAGAATCATGATGCACGGGCAAGATGAAGACGTAGGAGAGGACTAGCTTACTTAGTGCGAGAGTACAATCTAAGTCCCCAAGATTATGTGAACGATCATCTTTACGGGGACAAGAGCCAGCGTTGCACAAAGGGCTTGTTCTGCATCATTGCCAGGCCGACACGACTATCGTGTAAGATGCTAACCGCAATTGTCAATCGAGCTGTCTGTACATTACCTAGCCCATATCTTGTACGCTGGAATTTGCACAACCAATCGCAAATCCTACATCAGTCTTCTCTGCGCCACCAGTAGCTAGAATGCCTCCACCCGGTTAGTTGCAACTATTCTGTAATTCTATGCTCCAATGAGCTCGCTATATTCGAGCTGTCACCACCTTCCTGGCATATTTTCCAAATCCTCTCAAACTTCCACATCAGAGGTGATCGTTCTGCCTCTACGGTTTCGGCGAAGTCTTTGTCAACGGTGAACTGAAAACTGATCACTCCGGGGCATAATTCGGATGTCAGATCAACGAGAATGGCGAAGGATCGTACAAAGTCTAATTCAGATGAACGGGGATGTCAAGGACCCCAAAATATACATTGTTTTTGACTTGCGGCAGAGAGCGTGGTCATCTGTTACAACGAGCTTGAGTTCGCCAAGTTATGTAGATCTGCAGGACACCATTTGGTTGACTCTCTTCGTCATGGAATTCCAGCGTGGACTGAAGAAATGAGCATAGCGAAGGAAAAAGCGTGATGGAAGAGCTGATGTAAATTGGAATGCCAAGTCAGAGTTGCTTGTCTCGACCGAGTCATGAATGCAGAGACTGGTCGGTATCAAGCCAGTGCCGCATTCTGGGCTACCTTATCTCACAGAGAGACTATCGATCAAGACAGCTTGAAATTTATCCTATGATAAGCGATCTTTTGTGAGTGAAGCTTGGAATGCGAGGTCGAAAGAGGTGGTCGTTATAGACGGCATATGAATTTCCGAGTGTCTTCACCGGCAGACTTGCTACTGGATGGATCCGATGATCCACTGGATCCTGCCAAGCACCACTCTTCAGCACAGACGTCCTCAAATCACACTAACCAGTCTCCTACGCGTTGGAAACATTGACCAGACGACCTGTTCACTTTACAGTAAGACGCATGGCTGGTATACAAGAGATGGTCTGTCAGAACATGTCGGTCAAAAGAACGCGTCGTCCTCGTGATTCCGCTTCTACAACCTATCTAGGTTAGACGATTTCCTAGAAGAGCTCAATTTGGCTCTTGGCAAGATCCAGTGGATCATCGGATCCATCCAGTAGCAAGTCTGGGATTCCGACTCTTCAGTGGTGCAGATGCCCGGTCTGTGTTGCAAGACCAACGATGCTCGCCATCACTGTCAACGACGACCATCATCTGCTTCAGTCCAACTCTCTCAAGATGTATGTCAGGTCCAGAAGGATGACAAGCAACGACAATACTGGCACCGCGCAAAGGCCCAAACACATAGCACGTATCTGCGTAGAGTTGCGTCGGCCTTGGAAGCTGGCGATGATGTACGCAGATAGACAACGCTGTCGGCAGAGCGTAAAATCGCAAGCCTCGACCTAAGGGCGGTGCTTCTGCTTAGCTTCCACAGGCCTCGTGGGCCGTGTCAAGTTCCAAACATCTGATAGACCAACTGTCCCTGTTGAGCTGCCCCGAGATCTCCACTGTCCCACCGTCTTTGCTTTGTTTAGATATCAGTGAGTACGTAGATCATCATCCGCAACTCTCCCATAACCATAAGGGTAGTGAGGAGGGTTCAGAGTTGAGTTTGCTCAGCGCCGTGGTTACGGCTTTATTGTTTATTCTTCAAGTGCCTGAGCGCGCAAGTCTGTCTCTGATTGGCTCGGCGTCTGATCAATATGCTCGTGCAGATGCACATGATTGTGCGCTGGATGATTTAAAGCTTCGGAGGTGTACCTGTAAGCGAGCATGAAAGCCATGCTCAGACCCGGTGGCAGGATCGGGAAAATCCGGTCGCCGGGACCATTCGGAACGCATCCGTCGACAGCGTTGATACAACCATACAAGAAGATTTGGCGCTGGCAACGACTTTGCAGAGTAGAAGAAGTTCACTCGTCTGTAAGTATCAGACAGCACGAGAACCGCCCGGGAGTCGATCATCGTCGCTATCTGTCCTAGAGGCACACGCGAATGAGGCCAGACAGCAACTGTCAATCTTCTTATCAGACTGCCCCCTTGTCGGACCTTTGCCCCTGGATTGACTGAATCGCTCGAACTAAACTGCAACACCGGGAGGATCAACGAGCTTATCTCCGGTGGTGTATCCGCAGATCTTTGCTATTGCAGTCAACATGCTGGTGTGATCTGACGATGATAATGTCCAGGCACACAGGGGCCTGTCTTGTTCCAGATTGCTCTGAGGAGGACGGTAGTCTGTCCTCGACACGACTTGTTCCTCCTCTGGAGATGCACACAGTACTGAGCCGGAGGATTACCAAGAGATCGTTGACACCTGTCGCAAAGACAATTTTGAGGCTGATATCCCGAACACCAACCAATGCGGAATCACTGATGATCAAAGTGAAATGCGTTGCGAGTGACGTATGGTGACTGTCCGCTAGATTATTTGGAGTGTCGTTCCAGTCGACATCGGATTGATTAGACTCCAGTGTAATACCCATATATAGCGTTCATTGCGGCAGGGAAATATCGGGTCTTGAGATTTCAGCTTGCATACAAGAGGGACATCTCGGAGGCGCGGACCATTGAACAAGTAAGTCTCGTGCTCGGACTTGACCATCGCTCGTACTGAGATGTTCTGCAGGGCACAGTTTTACATGCTGATGCTAAGACCCGTGCCGTTATTCATCGACTGGGGAGGAAGGGGCGATCTCGAAACCACTTCACGATAAGGTGATTACGCGTTCCGCTCAGACAAAAGCATTCTGGCGGATTCAAACTGATGACCGATCGACTGATCAAACCCAGAATATTTGTTCTTGTGCTTCATACTCGAGAGTTTGGAGCTGTCGCCAGAATCAAGAATATATCCAAGATAAGCTGACGCAAACGTGGTTAAAAGTCTAACAGCCAATCGATCAACTCGACGAGGCAGAGCACCCGGTCAAATCACCATGAGCTGCGGGACTTTTCCATTCTCGACAGTTTGATCGGTAGTTTGCAACGTCATCCACAAATTTGAGCTGGGCCGAAAATTTTCATCGTGCTGACTTATATAAATATTCTTGTGTCAGCGGAACAAGCGGCGTGATACGCATATATTAGTCGAAGCACATTCTCACGATTAATTGCATATGTGGACATGTCAACCATACAGGAACAACCATCCAGGAGGAAGGACGCCAAGACTAGATCTCGAGCTTCCAAGGCTTGTGCTCGCTGTCGGATCAAAAAGGCGAAGTGCACCGGTGGATCACCATGTTCGAACTGCCAGGCTTCCGATGCTATCTGTCACTTCAGGGAGATCAAGTGGTCTAGAGGGAAGATGTTTCCTGCACAGTAAGAGTTATCATTTGCCCGAATAGGCAGCTCTAAGACTAATTCTATAAAGCCATGTGCATGAGTTGGAGGTACAGCAACACAAATTAGAAGCCGCAATACGCATCATGTACTTCAGATTACTTGCTGCAAGCTCGTGGCCCGCGCCGAGACTGATGGAGCATGATAATAAACCACTCATTCATGATGTACTTAGGGCGTTGGGCCTACTGGAAACATCGGATGCAGCAAAAGGTAATCAAGGTACAGACTTTTGTGAGGCTGGGAAGCCCATGTGCAGCTCTTCAGCAGGAGACGCGTCTATCATCACCAGCTTTGAGAATCAGTCTCCTAACCGCCCAGGATTGACTGTATCCCATTGCAAGAGATCTCACCGGTCCGGCAGACAGTCTCCACCATTGAAAGCGGCCTCATCTTCGATAGAACCACACTGGTTCGGAGGGACTCCTGAGTTATCCTCAAGAGCAACAACAGACTCAGATCTCTTGACAACACCACAACGAATCGATTGCGCGCCATTCGCACCCTCTTCTGGAGGGGACATGAGTTCAGAAATGAATGGGCTGCGAGATATACAACCACTAGTGTTAAGCTCTGCCCATCAAGAACCATATTCGGTCCTTGAATTTCCCCAAAGCGCTGCACGACCTCAAACGAACAATGGGTCCATAGGCTGGGAGTCTCTCAACAAGTCCACTATGTGGTTATATGGAGACTCGGAGAGCCGGGGAGAGCTGAACCATGCGGAGAGCTTGGAAGGACTAGAAGGGATGACAGATTTGGAAGATTTACGAAACTTTGAGATGGTAGAAGCCTTGGCCAGTTCGGGTGAGCTGGAAGGCTTCTGGGGTTCGTTAACTGCTTCATGCATCCCGCCTGGGCCATATATTGCGACACCTTGCGACAAGATGGATTGCTATATGCCTTTACAGTTCTTCAAGGTCGGTTAGTGATCCTTCCGCGGACATCATTCTGTATGGTCAAGCACGGAAGACAAACAACAGCCCATCCCACCTATACTCTCGATAACACGAATGCTCTACAGTCCTATGTGTAGCCATGCGCGAGTCGCTAGCTAATCTGAGAATATCTATCTGAGTTGAACGCAGGAATACCTGAGGATTTTTGCCTAATATACCTAATAGATAATGAGTGTATATAAATCGCTCACGACTTGTAAGAGTGAGCTCCCATGCTCACGGAGTGAGGGAGTGAGGATCGACCTTGCAGCTCTCGGGCCAAGGCCGTAAGCTGAAGCTGCGACCCTGTCCGTGTGGCTTGCTGGCTCACTCGCCAAGCGAGTGAGGTTCAAGTCGGCAGCAGTCGGTAGTGCACGAGCCAGTAGCCGGCACGCTTAACACTAGATTGCTACTCAGTATGACTACACATCACGTCCCTAGATTTTCGCTCACAGGTAGTGTAGGTTGGCAAATGTGGATAGTATCGATGTCTTCGGTCTATGACTATACCTAAACTAGTTATGATTGCGAAGTCCAGATCATGCTTAGAGATGTCACTGTCTAGCGTTATAACCTTGCCACGCGTCGACGGCCTTTTGCTTATAGGGGAAGCATATCAACAAACAAGAATAGCAATCATGCTTTTAATCTAGGACCATGCCTAGATTGGCTACCCTTGCGAGCGACAACGTTATATCTGCAGGCGCTAAAGTGGAGCCTGATGCTCTCGGCTTCGAAACCATCGGTAAGACGTAACCACATCGGGATTTGGTGCCCAACGGTTCTAGCACTAGTCGCATCCTGGGCGTCATATGTCAGATGCCATCAGACGCCGATAGATGTCTCTATCAGAATTGCATACTGCAGCGGTTCTTTGTTAGTAATATCCTGCCGAAGCGCTCTGCCATGGCATACAAAATCTTGGGCTTGCAGCATATTCAAGTCACATCCTCTTCCATGAATCATCTCCGCAGTCACTCTTTACACTATGTGGCCTGCTCTAATCTTGGCGGTCACCGCACTGGTCCAGATCTCCCCTCTCGCTCACGCTGCCCCCCCAAACGTCACTCTTGACTACGCTACGTACGAGGGTCTCTCGAACAAGCATGGTATCACCAGCTTCCTAGGTATGCGCTATGCGGCTGCGCCCATCGGAAACTATCGTTTCGCTGCGCCTCAAGATCCTGGCGTGGAAACTGCCACACAGCAAGCAACTCGTGTATGTGTGCTGTTCTCGATACATCCAATTCATCAGGATTGATCATGCTCATCTGTTTTAGTTCGGTAACGTTTGCATTGGGGTAAATCAAAGTCCTGGCACTCCCGTCATCGGCGGTTACACTTACGGTGAGGATTGCCTTTTCATTAGTGTATCATCGCCGACCAGGGCTGCAAACAGTTCTCTTCTTCCCGTGATCATCTGGATTACTGGTGGAGGTTATGCCATAGAAAGCAGCACCAATTTCGACTTTGATCAATTCATCAATGCTTCGAATGGCAGTGTAGTCGTCGCACAGATGAACTACAGAGTGGGAGCTCTCGGATTTCTCGCTGGCCAAGAAGTTCAGTCCGAAGGAGCTCTTAACGCGGGTCTTCTCGATCAGCGCAAAGCGTTGCAATGGGTTCGCAAGTATATCTCACAGGTCTGAACGCATCTAAATCATTGACACTACCAGAACTACGCTAATGGAAACAGTTTGGAGGTGACCCTGATCATGTTGTCATGGTTGGTGGTTCAGCTGGCGCTGGCTCGGTTGGCTTACACCTGACCGCCTACGGTGGCCGCAATGACAGCCTGTTCGTTGGGGCAGTCGGAGATGCTTTCTTCTACCCTACTGTCAACAACGCTACCTTCTCACAACATCAGTTCGACACCCTCGCCACTACCGTGGGATGCGGTTCAGCTTCTGACAAACTCGCATGTCTACGGAGCGTGGACATCAACGCCATACAACAAGGCGATATCAATGGAGCATACCCTAACCAGACTTTGGACTCACAGTATATTTGGACACCAGTCGTCGATGGCAACTTCATCCAGGATCTTCCACTACGCATGATTCAAAATGGTCAGTTTGTCAAAGTACCTTTGATTGTTGGTGATGTAACGGACGAGGGAACCCTGTTTGCAAATAATGCTCTTGATGCTCAAGAAGTGTCTAAGTTCATGTCTGCCAATTTCCCTCTACTTTCTTCCGACAACCTCACCACGATCAACAAGCTGTATCCACCGACCACTCTGTTCCCATTCCACAACCTTTACTTCTCTTCTTCGGCCGCCGCTTATGGTGAATCGAGCTTCAAATGTCCGGGTTATCTTATCGGGACTTCTATGGCTGCAGCTGGTCTTGCATCGAGTGTATGGCAGTACAATTTCAACCAGACCATACCCGCGATCGCCACTGCTGGATTCGGTGTGATGCACCAGTCAGACCTTGGTGCTCTGTTCGGTGGTTCCGTTGGATCGTCGACGGGATTCTTCGATCTGGCCGATAATGTCGAGAATGCAGTTCTCTTCGAGAGCTACAATGCTGGAAACAAGATGTCTTCCACTATCGCAATGGACTACCTCATATCATTTGTCCGCTCCCTAGACCCTAACACGTTCAAGGCTTCTGCGGCGCCTCGATGGAATGCCGCATTCGCTTCCCACTCTGCAGAGCAGATGAGAATCCAGGACATTGGTACTCAGATGGAGCAAATTTCAACAGATTTCATAGCTCGTTGCGCTTTCTGGACTGACCTTCTCTCACAGATTGGCCAGTGAACACTCATTTTATTCGAATTGGACTGAATTTGTTAGATTGTTTTGAGCTCGTGAAGAAGAATGTTGAACAATGGATATGTAGTGATGGTTACCATTGCGCACCGTAAGATGAAAATCGAATGCTCAATCTTTGACCACATCGCAACGACAACCTCAACAGACTGCTTTCAGGTTGTATGCAGCTGAAGGAGAAGAACATGATCCAGTGGAATGCCCCTATGGTGGAGAGTCACACTCCTGCATCGAGGAAGAAGCTGCAAAGACACTATTGTGTGAGCACAAGGTAGTCACAGAAGTATGGTCTGAGATACCCTTGCGCAACTTTGTACTGGATACAGTAACTAGCATTGGTCAGGATCGAGACTGGCTCAGGGACAGCTCATACCCCTTGCGAAATGAGGCAGACTGGCATCTATGTTGACATGGTCGACACCCGGATGATTCCACAACGGCAGGCGCATACTGAAGTGCTATGTGCTTCTCCGCGTGCTTGAAGCCAACAGCAGTAGATATGACAGCTCGGCAGCGTCTGACGATGAAACTTTTCTTCGGCAGGACTCGGGAGGAGTGGAGTAGACTTATCGTGAGAACTCGGGATTTTATTTTCCTTATGTCGGGCCGATCGGGCTAGTTCACTTGAACGAGTACTCAATGCTCAAAGTTTTGCAACATGATGCACCACAATGTGTTGAGTCCACGCTCCACGCACCACACTCCATGGAACAACCGTCTAAGGATGGAACTCCCGATTATACTCGAATGCCCATCCGCGATACCGACACCTAGCGAAGTAATATCCTCGATGCTCAGGTTTTTGTGTCAGGAGTGATCTCTGCCTGTTGAGGCTAGAGGAACCTGAGCATGTGAAGGATTGCACATGTATCACTCATTTGGAGTGAGAGGCTGACGTTGATGAACCTTGGCCCTCGTATCGAGTCTGTACATCAGCAACGCCTGCCTCGATTAACTTTCTTGTTGGCCTTTTGCGATACCTCCGGCTCGAATTCGCCATCGGGATATGTTGGAAGGTACACGTCATTAGCCATCACGGCGCGAATACTCGGATGGATGACGAGAAAGAGTGTACGCAAAAATCAACCACCAGCCAGACCCAACCCGCACTGGAGGTTCAACATATATCATCCCTCTCATGGGAATCAATCAATAACCAGCGAAACGTATGAGCCTTCGAAGCATTCGTCACCATGCCGCTTGTAAAGATCGACGTGATCAAGAACGTCCGTACGCTGGGAGAGATCCAGCATCTAGCAGACGTGATTCAAACAGTATTGTTGAATACGTTCGCAGCTCCTCCTCGAGACCGATACCAAGTAAGCTTTCTTTCTCTACTTGCCTGGTTCTCGCGCTATTTATCAAGCATGAACTGACATGCCTCAGATTATAACCCAACATGAACCCTATGAGATGATCTTCGAAGATACTGGGCTGTCCATTCCACGTACCGAAAAGCTGGTTCTCATCCAGATTTTCCAGCAGGGAAGAAGCACGGAGCAGAAACAAGCTTTCTATGCGGCATTGGCTGAGCGACTGGGAAAAGAGTGCTGCGTTCCAAAGACGGACTTGGTAGTCACTGTTTCCGCAAACACGAAAGATGATTGGAGTTTTGGGCTCGGGAGAGCGCAGTTCGTGACTGGAGACTTGTAGTGATGGAGAGCAGGAGGAGAGAAAGACATGTCTGGACGATCTGTCAAAAAGTCATAGACTGAAAATTGTCTGCTAAGTCGTACTACGGATTGCGGAGATGGTTTCGTTGCTCGCAATAGTCGACACACTTGGTGTTCGGCGAGCCAAGCACATTAACCCCCACTTTGCGTTTCATATAAACCGAACACAACACAGATCAATGCCTACCACCAAATTCCTTGCATCTCGTGATGGAAGTCAAAGCAGCCTTACACGATGTAGCAATCCGATACGAACTGAAGATACTCCAGGAATACTCATCCTTGTTCTCAAGCCACCTATGCTTACTATTAACCGACCATACTTTCTACCACATCTTGGGCAACATTGTCGCACTAGATCTTCTCACCGGCAGACTTCCCAGCAGATGTCTGCGCTAACACAGTGATCACCAGCCTAGATCTTCGCCAACGAGGAAGCCGTATCGTCCCGCAAACACAACAGACAACAATTCGCACCCAAAGTCTCCAGGCTGTGAAAGTCATCCTAGATGGAATCTTGACGCTTTCTACATAATATCGCGCTTAGTGTGCTACGCCTATACAAGTGTTGACTTGTCGTACAAAGATTATGCCGTACGTGGACTGCGCTTCGCAACTATTTCATTCTAAGAGTTTCGTCGTCGTGTTCGTTAGGGCGATTAGCCGATATGCTTCGGTCTCGTGGTTGAACTATTTTTAGGCGGTGTTCGTAGTATTGTCGTTACTGACAACCTGGATCTCAGTAGGCGGTATATGTACTCTAGGTAGGCGCTAAACGGGTGTACTAGGGCTTCTCCAACACGTCGCTGCAGGCCTGCATGGGTAAATGAGTGATTTTCTTTTCAGTGCTGCATGCTCCGTGTGAGTCATGTATGTACCGTTCATGAAACTTGTCCAACATCGATGGCATATATATCAGATCTTCTCGTTGTAGAGATGGTCCGATTTCGACATCGGGACCTCGTCGACGGGATTCAAGGGCCTGTACCTGGCGTACTTAACAGTACCCATGACAGAAGGACTCTCCTTGAACATAATGTCTAGCTCTTCCAAAGAACGTCCCTTGGTCTCGGGGTCTAGAAGTACAAGATTAGCAGGGGAACAACAGAAGCACTGGAGGTGTATGGCCTACAAAGAAAGTAGACCGTGACAGGAATACATGCACCGATACATGCGTAGACGATGTAGTATCTGTAGCCGATGTCGTTGATGGCCACTGGCGTGATCATGGCAACTGCGAAATTCCACAACCAATGGTTAGCAGTGGAGATGGATGCCATAGCAACACGCAGTCTGATAGGCGCGACCTCGGTACAGTAGAGGAAGTTAGCACCGAGAAAACCGATAGGGGTGAAGAAACAGAAGAGGTATATGAAAAAGGCGGCGGCAATGGATGCACCATAGTTGGAGTGAGGGTAAGAGGTTGCAACTGCAAGAGCCAGCATGCAGCAGGCCATACCAGCTCCAGAAACCATGAAGCAGACACGGCGACCGAACCGATCGATACAGAAGAAGGCAACGAAACAAGACAGGAATTTCCATGTCAGAGTACCAGCGGACAAGAGCTTGGAATTATAGCTGGTCATGCCAAGGCCTTGCTGGAAGATGACGGACGCATATACGGAGATAAGGTTAGTTCCAGACATCTGTTGGAAGAATTGGAGCAGAATGCAAAGACCGAATCGATAAGCGAGCTTGTCCTCGCCCATTGTGAACAGATCCCTGAAAGACGCGGCCTTGGCGGAGGATTCCTCGAGAGATATCTCGATGCCGACACACTCTGCTTCAATTTCGGGAGCATCGATGGGAAGACCCTTGAGAGCAGCCAAATTCTTACGAGCTTCCTGGCCATGGCCTTTGGCGAGAAGCCAACGAGGTGACTCTGGGAAAAACCAAATGGAGAACAGAACGACAAGCGAGAAGAGCAGAGAGATAGCGATAGGAGTGCGGAAGGTAACAGGCCCGCCCTTTTTGATAGTGAAGAAACCAAAATCGATCCAGGACTCGAGGGTGTAACCAAGCTTTAGGGTTAGGGTTAGGCAACATTCCATTCCTTTCTATATAGCTACATTCTGCTCTTAAATTAAGGTATACACATGAGATAAGGAAAAGTAGGTAAGGAAAAACCTCCAGAAATATATATAAGAGATGTATTATAAGGCTAGGTCATTAGTTAATGCCATAGCCCATCCAGTTTCTTGCTCGGAGGCGGATAAGGAGGACCGAGATGTATTTATCTAGCCATTCAGCAGTGCTAGGAGTAAAGGACCTCTATAACTCCTTATAGGTCTGTAAGGTATCTTTTCCAAGCAGTCCGCCTTAGCTAAGGATAAATGGCTTAAATGCCTGGCCAAGTACTCGGTATTTATTCCTTTTAACTTGTTCTTCCGTTGCAAGGGTTACATATGGATCTGCCTTTACTTGTTCCTTTGTAAGAGAGATTATTAATATGTCTAGGTGTAGGGTTCCTTTTAGATTGTCAATCCTAATGTCTGTACGGATGTCTCTATAGTCGCCTCTTGGTTCGAGGAAGACTTTGTTGTCTAGGTTGGTCCGTAGGGCTGTTGCAAGGGCTTAGCAGATCTTGTCGTGTTTTACTACCGTTTGTCTTGTCCTTGCACGGCATGCATCCTCGTGTCCAAAAGTGTAGGCTCTATTGCAGTGTCTACAAATGTCCTGTTCCTCTTCTGGAGTAGTTAGTAGGCGGATACAGAGGGCGGCCGCGACGTCCATGTCCGCTAGGAGTAGGGGCTGCGAAGTTAGGAGGGCTATAAGCCATCGTCGGCCTAGGTAGGCGGCGTTCTCCATCCGAACAGCATCTTACATTAGAGATAGTTTCTATTAGATTCTGGCTAGTCGGGCCTTATAAAGCTTGTCCATTGCAGTGCGGTAGATCGTCCTAGCTAGGCCTGTGCTTGTAGGGTTGATCTGTTAATGTTCCATTAGGAACTAGGGGTCTTGCTATGCGGATTGGCCGAGGAAGTAGGCTAGGCTATGCTGTGTTAGGTGGGTTGCTCTAGTTCTACTCCTTCCCCGATCCTGCTATAGGTTGTCTTGGTTTTGTTACAGGTCGTCCTGGTCTTGTTACAGGTCGTCCTAGTCTTGTCGCCGCTCGTCCTGCTCCTATTGCTGGTCATCTTGGTCCCGTCGCGGGTCATCCTAGTCTTGTTGTAGATTGTCCTGGCCCTGTTGCAAGTCGTCCTGGTCCTGTTATAAGTCGTCCTGGTCTTGTTGCAAGTCATCTTGTTCCGTTAGGTCTTCGGGCTGAGGAGCCGTCTGGCTTGGCGAAGGCGATGGCTCTCGCGGTAGTCTCCAGAATAGCTTTGCTGGTAGGAACCTCTATAAGGTGATGTCTGCAATGGTCCGTAAGTTCTGGTATGCTAAGCTAGCCGTTTCTGCGTAGAGGGTGATGCCTAGTCCTCCAAGCCTTGTAGGTAGCGCTACGAGGGTTTTAGGGTTTTTAGGGTTTTTTTGGGTTTAGGGTTAGGGTTAGAAAAGACTTCTATTCTGGCTCTACTTAAGCTATACTTGCTCATCTAATTACCTAGGGTCTTTGGATTATATAAAGGAGAGAAGAAAAGAGGTAACATAGGAAAGTTAGACGTATACTAGTCTATCCCATACCCTAGC